TTTATTTGAATTAAATAAATATTACTTGAATGTAGCACTATCTTCCTTCCAGTGTGCTACATTCAAATAATATTTACTTAAGCTAAGTAAAATAAACTACTGTAACATTCCTTAGCGAATATTTACTTGAACGTAACAATTTTTGTTCAGTGCAGCTTCAGTTGTGGGAGCTTATTATTTTTAACGTGCAAGACACAATTCATCCCGATATCTTAATTCGAAGTACCTTCGTATTTCACATGTGAAAACTTATGATCGGAGGATGTATAAAATTAATATATGTATAAAATTAGTATTTCGCAGCCGATCAGGTGATTTCTAATCATATTTTAGAAACATTTTCATCAATAAAAGAGAGTTCATAATACAGATCCTTGTCTCTTATTAACCCTTATCGGACGCTAACTTTTTATGCGTGATTCTCACTAGGTTGTAGCTGGTTTCGGTAAATATGCGAAAAATTTTCAGTATTATAAGAATAACATTTTTGTTAGAAATTATTTATTTTTTGAAGGAGTATTACAAATATATGAGTTTCAAATAATTATTTATAAGTTTTTAATGTATGATATTTTTTTAAACAATCTCCAACATGAAGGAATGGTTTTCTGTTGCACGTTTTACAATATACTATTGTTTTTCTTCTTCCAGGCAACTTACGAGTAGAACATACTAAACAGTCATTATGTTTTCCTTTAGCATCAAGTTGGAGGATATGTAGTTTTCCATCTAATCTCTCCTCATTGTCTGTTGTTGATGGCGTTCCATATCGCGCAAATTTATAAAATTTTCTTTATTCATTTTTGGGCTCAATATATTCAAAAATTGAGTACAAAAAGCAGTGATATATCACTGGAGATGTCAATTGCTCCGTTGCTTATGCTCAACTGACAAGGCAATCGTACCCGCATTTGACAGAGAGCGAGTTTCGACAGATTCCGACTTGTCACCTCCTACGTGACGTACGACCGCAGCGACGAAGTATTGTTGTCACGTGAGAGGTGACTTACGACCGGTAAGGGTTAATAATATAAATTTCTAAGGAAGCTCAGAGCTCGCGCTTAACCTCTTTACCGAGAGAGCTAGCGTTCGTCTTGAGGCAGATGTCGCCTGCAGACGGTGCCAACGGAAGAGACGTCGGTAAAAGTGAAACGACGTGTTTGAGCATCCTCGGCGTTTAAAAATCGCGTGTTATCGCGCACATTGCGTGCCCACCGAATGGCGATAAATGAAAAAAAACCCAAAGGGAAAACGTCTCTTCACTCGAGACGACTAAATCCAGCCGTGATTCATTGGCAACTGCAAATGACATATGCTCAAATAGCGATAAAATCGCTCATTCGAACAGCGCGGCAGGAAGCAACGAGGAAACACGAGCTTCCGCTCTCGATAAGCCGGATTAAAAAAAAAAAAGAAAACAATCGAGTTATCAAGGAGGCAATAACGATCCTCGCGGGTGACCCGCGCCGACTCTCTGTCGGACCCGTCCAGCTCTCCTGCGGGCAAAATTCAAGGAGAGGCTTGTCTCTTCCTCGCAGGCTTACAAATTCGAAGGAAAGGACAGGGCGAAGATGGACACTCATGACCGCCCTGTGACGGAACATAACCTCTCGAGGCGGGGAGGCCGGACGGTTCCTGGTCGCTGCGCGACGGTAGTCACGATCATCGGCGGTCGATCGCCGCCGCGGCGTTGACACATGTCAAGCGTACGTACGTGTGTGCGTACGTGCACGCGTGCATGAGTAGGTGGGCGCGCGCGCACGAAAAAAGCGGTCGCGCCGGCCGCGAGAGAGCGGCGGCACGCGATCGGTACAGCGCGCTGCGTAGAATTCGAGGGACTCACCGCTGTGGCCGGTGTTGCTCGACGACTGGCCCATCGTCGTCGTGGTCGGCCCGGCGGCACGACTGCAGGCAGCGGTGTTGTCGGGTCCAACGACGGCGGCGGTGCTCGGCGGCGGTGGATAGGCTCACGTGAAAAAACGGGCGCATGGGCGCGCACAGGCACGACGCATTTCGCTTTCGCTCGTTGATTACCGCTGTCAGTTCGTCACATCGTGCATCCGCTGGCATCCGCAGTGTCGCTACGCGGCGGAGGCGGACGAGCGCGCTGCCTCGCTGACGAGACCGACAGCGCGACGCGGCTGGCGCGAGAGAGGTGATTGGCCCGCGGCGCCCGAGCGCATGCGTCCGCATTTACGCGCCGTTTGAACGCGCGCGCGAGAGCGGCGCTCTCGAGCTGCGGAGTGCCGCAGCGGCGAAATTGATTCCTCTCTTCGATGATGCAGGTGCGCCCCGCCGGACGTGCCTTTTTCTTATCTCTCGCCCGCTGAGCGAGATAACGCGGCGGGGTAAGTCCGGATCCGCGGATGGGAAGCTTCCGGCTTATTATCTTGAGCGATAAAACATGGAGCGGCTTCTAACAAGCGGTTTCTGCGCTGCCAAGAGCTGTAGTAACGCTTATATCTTAGGAATTTCGACGTCCGCTTTTTGCGAAAAATTACATTAAAATGTCGTACTTGGGGCGCTAAAATGTTTACGTCCGGTTTCACCAACGCGAGTTAAGCAAATCGGTCAATTACAAATTTGGCCCTTCCGTCGGAACTGTCCAATCGCATCGTTGTTAGATAGATGTTAAATTCGTCAGTTCCAATGGACTAACTGAATTTAATCGACCGATTTGATTAACTCACGTTGACGGGCCTTATTACATCTATTATTGTGGATCCGGACTAAGGTTTCGTGGGAGCTTGAAAATTTATTTGTATCGCTTTTCGATCGATAATCGAATTTCATCCTGTATTATTGGTTTATATATCGATCGTTTCATATATGTGTATCTAAACAGTAAGTTTTTGTTAAATTAACTTAATTTCAGCGATGTATATAAAAGACAATGTACTAAACTGATACGACATTCGTAAAAAGGCGTATCGTGTTAATTTAATATAGCATCTTTTATGCGCATCATCGAAATACAGATAATTCATACATAATGCTAAATTGCTATTATAAAATTTAACTGTAAAATTAATTTTACATTTAACTATAAGTTGTATGTATCTTAAACGATCGATTCAAATAAGATTATGTATAACGGAAATTTTTTGTATAATAGATAAGTAAAGATCATATTTAAAAAGTTGATCTTCTTTGTACATTATTCAAATTACTTAAAACTTATTTCTTCTTCCTACATGGCAAAAATAACTAAAATACACCATAGGGATATCCTAGAGATATTACGATATCTTTAGGATATTTTTGCTGTATGGATCCCATATGTATTTTTCATTAATATAATCAACGTCATTTTAATCAGGAGCACTTATTCCCTGATTCAGATGAAAAATTTGAATATTTTAGATTTTTTTGACTTGTCATTGACTTGTACTACTAGTCCGAAAATCATTTTTCAATAGTTCCACTTGTCATTGACTTATACTACTTGCTCGGGAATAATTTTTCGATATTCTAACTTGTCTCATTAACTTCTATTACTTGTTCAAAAATTATAATTATCAATTACATCCAATTTAACAATTAGTCCCACTATTCACGAATATTAATTATTTCACATTTACTTACCGCAAATATTGTATCTATAATCAAATGAATATAACTAATTGTTTATTGAAATAAAAATTAAAAATTAAATCTATAGATAGAATATTGAGATAATATATATGTCAATCGGATAATCGAAAAGTGGATAATGGACTATCTAACGCCACCTAGCGGTGTTATAAGAGGATTCTTTATGTCCGATGGGTTCGAAGCTTGGCTAAGCGATTTTTTCTAATTCAGATAAAATACATGATATTAATATCGCCTTTATGTCTTCAGCGCAACATTTACTTCGTTCCTTATTTAAAATTTTTTATTTAACATAAAGAACGTTTACGAGCTGTTTTACTTAACATTTTTATAGGATATTTATGTATTAATCTTACTGTTACCTCGAAGAAGGGAATAGATGAAAACTATTCGTACCCGTTTGTACGCGCATGAAAAAAAAACTGGTTGCATCAACCACAAAGGGAACAACCAGATACGTTCTGGAAGTTGAAGGAAACAGAATTTCTGGTTCTCATGGCTCAAATATGGCTTTTATAACCAGAAATTCTGTTTCCTTCGACCAAAATGCATCTGCTTGTTCTCTCTTTGTGCTTAATACCAGATTTTTTTACCGTGCACCTATATCCTTGAACGTACGAGGACATATCCCAATACCTCGACTGGTTACATCACGTTCCCTATCAGGCCGCGCAGCGGCTGAATAATGAAAGATTAAACGCGAAGAAAAGAATGAAAAAATACCATTATTTCCTCACATGCGTGACGACCCTCGAGCTTTTGCCTGCTCATAAATCCCACCTATACCCACTAATCGCGTGTCGCACGTGCGTGCGTTCCGCGACACCAGCTGGACTATCACGCGAGTAACGCGTCCAGGGCTCGCGTATGAAGATCGAGTCGAGGCCGGCCTCGAGTCCGGTCGCAGACTACGAAGGATGAGAACTTATTGATTCGCCGGAAGAACGACGACGACGGTTCGGTCGGGAGTCATCGATCACCAAGTAAATCTCGGCGAGAGCGAGATCTCGGTCTACATGACGATACGACGACGACGACGTCGGTGCGATCGCCTTGGTAACCGGCTGTCAAAACACTACGTCGTCGGCGCGCAGAGACGACTGTAATACGACGTCGACGAGCGTGGCTATCGGCAGGGTCGTCGCAAGTCTCCGCCGCGTCCTATGGATCATCCTGACACCGTAACGACGACGACGACGACGATCGCCGTGCAGCGCCGGAGAAACCGGCCGAGTCGGGTCGGCTGGCGTTGAAGTTGTTGAAGTGAACTGAGACATGATCGCCGGCGTGGAACCCGCGTGGTATCGGCCGGAATGTGAAAGCTGACGTTGGACGTGCGACGACGAGAGTGCCGATCTGCACGCCATCGGGAAAGAAGTGCCTCTCGTGTTGCCGAGCCTTGAAGCATGAGCCCGGGGAGTCCTCGGATCCTGTGCCTCGCACTGTCCGTCCTCACTTGCCTCCAAAGAGGTCGGTAAACGATCGACCCGGAAAATCGCGATGATGTCAGGATAACGTCAAAATGACGAGGAAGCGACTACAAAAATTCACTTTTCGATCGCGATCCCATCATTATCTCATCGTCATTTTGACGTCATCGTGACTATTTGCTCTGCTTGGAGAATTAATTACGACGCGCTTCTTCTACTTCTTCTTCTTTCCGCATTCCAAATTCGGTTTCATTTCCCACCGAGATCAGATCTCGGACAGGGCACGAGGGTCGAGAACTGTCGGCGAGCTATCAGCGAATCTCGCGCGCGAGCAAGATCGATAAGTGAATTGCACACCTCCGGTTTCGAGGACGAACCGCTTTGCGGGCTCGACCGTAATGTATAGCTCGATTCGCACGATTTCGCGTAAAAATAGTTCTCGTTCGCGCCGCTCGTAGTAGCGACTTCGTGGCCGATCGTTGAGATGTTCTCTCGCGTTGACGCAAATGTCCCTCGCGCGTTTATAATCTACTCTTCCTCGCTTGTCGCGTTTGTAGAATAAAATATTCCAACAAACATCGTACTGCATCGTCATAAAAGTAGCCATCCGCCACAACGAATGCGACCGATCTGATCCGCAGGGCGGGCCATCGACTGCTTCAAGTGCGTCTCGATCGATGGCGACAACAAGCCCTGCGATGACCCATTTCATAACAATGGGAGCCTCGCCTTCTTGGAATCGCCCTGCTTGGGCGGTCGAAAAGGGCGGGACGGTCTCTTTCCGGCGACGGCCTGCATCAAAATCGCCGGTGTATACGGTAAACTCGCGAACTACTCTGGCGTAACGCGAATTCTGATTTCTCGCGAAGTGTCTTTCCTATAGTTTTTAAATTTCAGCAACGATCGACCCAGACAGAACAGAAAATCACGATGATGTCGAGGATGACGTCAAAATGACGAGAAAATGACTGTAAAAACTTACTTTTCGATCGCGATCCGATCATTATCTCGTCATTTTGACACCATCGTGATTATCCGCTCTGCTTGGGGAACTCACTACGGCGCGAAGAAAGAAAATCGTTTTTCTCTTTCAATTTTTCCGCGGATTACTTCGGTCTCTGTTCCGAAAGTATAAAAATTGGTTCGAAAAATGCACGCATGTTCGGTTAAGATCTGTTACGTTTATTTTCTTCCGTAGAGAAGAAGGTAAAGAACCAAAAAATCCACGGAAAATGAAGAAAAAATGAGTTTTTCCGAAACTTTAAAATTATAGTCTTCCTGAGTCGAAATTTTAATTCTACTTTAAGTTTAATTTAGTTCTATATCAAGTCTTAAAAAGCTTTTTATTATGCTGCTTTGATGCTACAAATGGGAAAGCTGTGGCCATTTTTCTCCACTTGAAGACTTAATGTAGAATTTAGAAGACTAATGTAGAACTAAAATTTAGACTCTCAACTCCTAATTGTAGCATTAAATGTTCCTTTAATTAATGCTACAAAGAGAATTTAGTCCTCCAAAGTCTAAATTTTAGTTCTACATTAAATCTTCAAATGGAGAAAACGATAATAATTTATCCTTAATTAAAACCTAATAATTTATCCCTATTAAGACCTTTTATGACTTAATGTAGCACTAAATAGACTTGATATAGAACTAACATTTCGACTTGGGAAGATTGATCACTAATTTTTGGGAAACCTCGAGTCGAAATTTTAGTCTTACTTTAAGTCCAATTTAGTTCTACATTAAATATCCAAAGATCTTCTACTGTGTTCCTTTGGTGCTACAAGTGCAAATGGAAAGTTATTTCCGTTTTCTCCATTTGAAGACTTAATGTAGAATTTAAAATTTCTCCCCAAGTGGTCTAAATTCTTTTTATAGCATCAACGAAGTACTAAAGCTTCTTCGATGCTACAAATGGGAAGCTCTTTCCATTTTCTCCATTTGAAGACCTAATATGGAACTGAGTAGACTTAAAAGTAAGACTGAAATTTCGAGTTGCGTCGGAAAACGAATCGCCTTAAATTCATAACTCCGAAAAATACGTCGCGACTCTGTGAAAAGCCACGTGGCATCGTAATCCCTTTTCTTTGAAAATATGAATTTATCACGGTTGTTTTTCCACAACTTTTCAACGCGATCTACATTTTTCAAGGACTTCGATTCACACTGTGACTTAATCGATTTTTTTCCGAATTATGCCAGACGAATCCGGCGAGTCTCTCATGGTGAGGGGTTGCGCGCTAGACAGCGGCACTCTGACTACCGACTCCGAGATCATCAGGATGTCCCACTGCGGCGGATTCTATTTCGACGACAAGTAAGACAGCGTGATGAGATAAAAAAGAAATTGTAAAAGTGCGCCAACTTAGGGCCGATTCAACTTCTAGGAAAAAATTGGTTTTAATTCACTTAAATCACTGATAGATATTCTTACATATAAGCTAGAATATTATAATCTTCTTAGAAGATTTTTAGTCATGATTCGATTGAATTTGTATTGATGCAAATATTGCGCTTCAAGACTAAAAATCTTCTAAGAATATTATAATATTCTTACTTATATATGAAAATATCTATCGTTGATTATTTCTTTTCTATGTAGTAAGATTTACCCGACAGGTATCTATTAGGTAAACATCAGTAGCTGTTGTTGATTGGTCTGTTCACTAGATGTCTACTTTACCTGTCTGGTAAATCTTAGCAAGAAATCGGAACAATCGGTCCTCAAACAGATGAATCGATCGTACCTGTATACGTCTTACGTTTCGCAGGTACGTGCGCGGATGCGTACAGTCTTGCAGCGACGCGGATGCGTGCAACGCGTCGTCAGGGGAATTGGCAACGCTGATCGCTTTGATACTGCCGATCTTCGCAGGACTACTCTAGTAACGCGTGCTTTTCGACACGATGATGAATGTGTGTGTATGTACATACGCAAGTCGCGGGCGCCGCTGTTTTATCGTACGTACGAGGAACGGAAAAGCGGACGGCGACTCCGAATCACCGGAGGGTCACCGATGTGATCCTCGTGATAACGGACTTGAGCAATGAATATATCACGCTATATGCGCGTGACAATTAACGAGGATACTATTAAATTAGATCCTATGATGCACAAAACAGGCCACATCTTGTCATGCAACTCGCATGTCTAAGACCGATATTCATAGTCGAATCTTGTACTTAAGATCGTCTGAAGTTCATTTTCAGATGCTGTACGGCTCATTTCATTAGCTAGAAAATATCTGAAGACGGTATCGTAAATATAAGATCTGATTATGAATACCGGCTTAAGAACCGTATTAACAGTCGTTACTTGAAACTCGTCTAAAGCGAGATACTTGATCAAATTTAAGATTGGAGTTAGATGTAAGTTTTTCAATGGGATCTCGCAATTGAAAGTATCACATAATACATCGTATGATTCGATTGAAAAATTCTAATCTAATTCTCAAAGCCTGTACAATGAAAGAAAAAATATCTAAAGAATAAAAAATATTTATTCGATAGGTAATAATAGCATATTTATTTATATTAATATACATATTTTTACACTAAGAAAAAATGTTTTCAAATTCAAAATAGAAAATATGGATTTCCTTAAATCTATAGCTTTTCACGTGAAAGCGATGATTTATTCTACTTAAATAAAAGAAATTAGAAAGATTTGAGTAAATATATTTTTATGTAGTAAAACCGAATATATATTTTTGATTTTTTAGATATTTTTTCTTTCAGTGTATTAAAAGTCGTCATTTGAAACTTGATTCAGATGAGAAATGCAAATTTGAATTTAGAGTTTGATGTGAGCTCCTCAGTCGAATTGCTCTTACAAATGTAACGCGTGTATTATACAGTATTAAAAAAAAAACATTCAGTGTGATAGATAATATACACTATACTGAGTAAAAAAAAACTTTAATAAACATAGATCGAAAGCTCAACCGTTTCTGAAATATAAACATTTTTGTATGTTAACACCATGAATGATTTATTGGCTTCACGTGCGACGTGAGAATAAGGTAATCTGTCTAAATCTTTATCTCGATATTTACAGAAAGTGTTCCACATGTCCTCTTTCCATTTTCATACATGTTTAGCATTTTCTTCTTACGGAGTCGCGAATTCTTTCGAAAATTCCGAAAAGTTCCCGTCGAATTATTTGGCAAGCACGCTGAACTCGGTCACGTAATTCTTCTAAGTCATTTACCGGCGATGAATATACTATGCTTTTCAAATATCCTTATAAAAAAAAAGTTCACGGGATTTAAATCAGGAAATCGAGAGGACTATGCAACTGTTCTACGTCGTCCAATTCACCTTTGACCGAAGTACCGTGTTTAAGTGCTCTCTCACATTACGCACAAAATGAGCTGAAGCCCCATCATGTATGTACCACATCAATAATCTTTCAGGCAAAGGCATACGTTCTAAGAACTAATGTATTCACCAAGAAATTAAGATAAGCAGAGATTGCTAGTGAAATCTATTGTTATGAAGTATATATGTATGAAAATCGAATGAGGAGATTTATAAACACTGAGATAAACATCGCATGCGACATGTAGAAACTAGCAAGTAAATCATAATGTTAACATACAAAAATGTTTACATCTCAGAAACAGTTGAGCTTTTGATCTATATTTACAAATGTTCTTTACTCAGAGTTTGGTGTGTACTATCTACCATAAATATTGAGAAGTTTTTTTTAACACCCTGTATAATTTGGATAAAAATTCAAATCTAACTCTATATACAAATCTGAGTGTTTCACATAAAAAAAGTTTTAAGTGACAATTACCAATACGGATCTAAATTCAAATCTGCGTGATCTCACGTGAGGCACGTTTCAAGTAATGATTATTAATACGGACTTAACTGATGTCTCAGAGACCTTTTCTGTACGTGTCTTTGGTCCGTATTGATAGTTGTCAGTTGAAACTCGTTTCATATGAGATACTGAGATTTTCAATCAAAGTTAAATGTGAGTTTTTCAATTGAATCGTACGATATATTTGATATTATATCAATAAACGCTATTCAACTGAGAAATTCACATTTAATTCTGAATTCCAATCCGAATATTTCATTTGAAGCAATTCTGATAAGAGTATTTCACTGAAAATTTGCTGAAATATATTTGAAAATCTCTCTCAATTGATTCCAATTCATTATCATTTCGTCAATAATTCAGTAAAAAATTACTTTCATCAATATTTCAGCAATTATTCAATAAAAAGCAATTTTCACTTATACCGTGATGAAAATATTTTACTGAAAATATAATGAAAATTTGCTGAAATATATTTGAAAATTTCTCTCAACCGACTCCATTTCATTAAAATTTCATCAATATTTTAGTAAAAAAATTAATTTCGATACTTCAGCCATTTTTTTAAGTAACGTAATTTTGAAATGGTAATGAAATGAGGTCAGTTGAGAGATTTTCATCAATTTCTAATATTTTCAAATACTCAGTTCTCGGTACTTTTAACAAAATATTTCCATCAACCGTTTCAAATAACGATTATTAATACGGATCTTAAATCCGTATTTAACAGTCGTTACTTGAAACTTAATGAGATACATCTGAATTTAGAATTAGATGTGAATTTTCCAATTGAATTCATTATAGATTTAATCAATCAATCAGATCAGTTACAATTATAATCATGTATGTATATCCCCAGGAAGCACAAAACCTAAAACTGGGACATAAGACATCTCTAAAACATCTTAAAGACATCTTATAGACATCTACTTAAAGACGACTTTAAGACGTCTTAAAGATGCCTTAAAGACGTCTTATGTCTCGGTATTAGGTTTTGTGTTGTTTGGATCATGTGATTCAACTGAAAAACTCAGGTCTAACCCTGAATTACAATCTTAGTATTTCACATGAGACGAGCTTCAAGTGACACCTACTCTAATACAGACCTCATTATCTCTCTCGAAGACGTCTCTCAGACACTTAAAGACGTCTCAATGCTCTCTGGGACAGTGAATACTGCCAGACTACGATTAAGATTCTTTAGCCGTGAACGTAACGAACAGTTAAATAGTCCACACGCGACTTGCTGCTCTGGCTACTCACTAGTAATGTGTATATGCGATACTTCGATTGTATAATTACCGCTTGATATCAATAAAGCATATCTCGAAGTTGTTAAACGAACATTCCTCTCTACTCTCCCTCTCTGTTTTCTCGTTATCTCGAGTGCACGGGGGCAATTTCAGGGGCGAAGCCACGTTGCTCTTTTCTTTGTTTAAACGCGACCGATCGATCCGCCTCTTCGACTTTTGAACAAGCGGCGATTTCGGGCCTGGCTGATCGTTCGACGACGGCGGTGTAAATTTCGACCGGCCATGAAAGGTCAGGTGTCCAACTCTTCCGACCGATTCGCCAGCTTCTTCTGGAAAGTCGTCTGCTGGCTTTGGGAGACCTTCGATCTCGTCCTGATGATCGTACTCGACTATTGGGCGAGGATGGTCGAATTGATACTCGTGCTGATGAACTTGACGTTTCAGGTGACGTTTCGCTCGCGCACAAAACAGTGACAGTTTGAAATTTCACGAATGTAAACATTGTAAAGTAAAATATACGGAGAATCTCGAAGGACAGTTCGAATCGAAAATTCGAAATCTACGCGATTCGACTTTCGAATCGACACTAAGAACGCAGCGAGGAGAAATATCGGTGAAACTCGCGAAATGAAGTTGCAGGGAGGAAATGCGAGCGAATAGTGCGAGGAGTGACCTGCGTTTCCAGGTGATCTGTTTCTTCAGGGACCTGTGCATCGACTCGCTGCAGACGTTTGCCAATGTTTTCCGAGGTATTGTCAATATCGCTAACAGTATCAGCCACGAAGACGTCGAGGACTTTGCTTCTGCCTGTATCGTCATATTCTTGTACACCGGGGTCGCGAAAATGTTCGTGAATTTTCTGAGAAAGGTATACGAGACTCGTGTCCCGCTAATCATGATAATCATTTCTGTCATCAATGAGCAGCAACGCGCGCTAATTAATGGATAGCCTCGAGAGCAATCGTGAGTCTTATGACCACCGAAAACTTCTCATCGTGTTAAGGCTCTCCTCACAACAGTCGTCTTGTTTAATGTAGCGAGGAAATCCATGCCGAGAATTCTTGCAATATACGATCGAAGTGAAAAGATATACCTGCAAAATGACATTTGCGATCGATTCAACTTCTAAAATACTTTGAACACTTTCCTTCTACTCTAACAATCAATAAACAACTGTAAAATTAACATTACATGCAATCTTTCTCTTCTAACTCATCTTTTCTTGTGCTTGTTACGTTAATTTCACACTAATTATTGATTGTTCGAGCAAAAGAAAAGTGTTCCAAGTATGTTACAAATATGATTTGTAAAGCAGAGTCTACAATGAGAATTTAAGGCGTAAGATTTAAGAACTTGACCAATTATAATTGACTTTTCTTTTATAATTCGGCCGTGATTGGTCAATTTCTTAAGTTTTACGCCTTAAATTCTCATTGTAGACCCTGCTTTTAATACTACTAAATTGATCACAAATGTCAATTTGTGTGGGTATATCTTCTTATTTAAACATATACTGCAAGGGTTTTAGGTACAAATTTTCTTGCTTCTGGCTTTCTGAGGAAAAATTTTCCATGTATGTGAAAAATTCAGATTATATAATTATATATAATTATATATAATCATATATAAAGTATCATACATATAAAATAGGTCTACGTGTGAAAACATATAATTATATATGAAAAATAGTGATACAATTATATGATTATATACAATAAGAAACATTTAGTACTTGTATTAAAATCGTTGTTATAATTTTTGTGAAATTTAACATACCTGTGTGTTAATTTAATATATTATGTTTATGTTACATCTATATTTTATGTTGAGTCGATATTTAAAATATGTCAGTATTAAAGTAACACGTTTTATATTTCAGTATCGATTAACATATTATGGGTATTAATTTTGTGTTAATTTTTTACATAACATTTGTATTACAATATATTCACCTTGTGTTAAATTAGCACAAATTTGTGTTAGCCGTTTGAAACATGTGAAAAGTGTTAAATTTAATACAAATTATTTACTGTGTATTTAAATACATACGATCTTTGCACATATGATGATACATGTGTATATATCATATTATATATAATAATATATATAATTTGGTGTGTGTGTGTGTGTGTGTGTGTGTGTGTGTGTGTGTGTGTGTGTNGTGTGTGTGTGTGTGTGTGTGTGTGTATAATCAAGTATAATTATATATTTCTATATGTATGGAAATATTCTATATATAGTCATACATGAAGAAATCCTCCTCCCTCAAAATCATAAAACAAGATAGCTGCGGCGAGTAGCTGACACAAGAACCAAGAAAATATATAGAAACAATTAACGAGCATTTATTCGAACATCCGAAACAGTCAATATTTCATCTTGCTCGACTGATCACTCGAATCCAAACGAGACACTTGCGCTTTAAAAAAAAAAAAACAATATTTCTCTTTGCCGAGTTAAGCTCGCAGCAACTGTCAAAGTACTTACATGCGTCGAGTGTGCCATTTCGCTCGGACAGTGCCATTGTCAGCCCTGGTCATCAAGCGCAAATGTACACTGCTTTCTAGAATCGTCGGACGCGGCGAAGCGCAGAAAAGTTAGACCGTTCACGTCTCGCGGAGAATACCGCTACCACGTGACGTGGAGGAGACCACGGTGCAAAAACCAGGTAAACCACAAAAACTCGCTACACACTATCTTCGTACCACCCTCCCTGTCGATTAATCGCGACCTTGAGATCCATACGGGGCATTATCTGGTTTTTGATCCGGAGAGTTCGACCGACGCGCGGTCGCAAATCCGAGCCTCGGACTCGCTTCTTGAATCTCGTCGTGTCAGTCGCGGTTCGTCGATTCTACATAAAAAGACTCACCCATTTGAAGGAACACTCCGTCGTACGAGATACACGAAACTCCGGCGGACGTCTTGATTACCATATCCCGATAACACGAAAAGGAAGAAACGCGCGAGTCCAGCTCGCAATTTCGCGGGGTCGAACGCGTCGTCCGAGTCTCCCGCGAATTCAACGCTTTCGCGTGTCCGGCGATCACGTTGAACGCCGCCGGACTTAATGCAATGTCACGTCACGATATTTCAGAATACCTATGTGAAACTGTTCAACGCACCGTCTGAACAACGGGCCACGTGGCGGAGCGATGATAACAACAATCCAACGAAAGGTCACGCACGGAACGTGTGTCCCGCCGGTAGGAGGCCGAGCAGAAGGATCAGCCGGAGGAACAACAGGCGATTCCGGCCGATATTGGAAAAGAGCAAGTGACATTTGTCAAAATCTTTCTCTCTTCTCCGTGGAACGTGTGCATTTTTTGCCGAGGTACGTCAACACGGCCGATTTTGTCGTCCGTAACAACAGAGAGAGAGAGAGAGAGAGAGAGAGAGAGAGAGAGAGAGAGAGAGAGAGAGAGAGAGAGAGAGGGAGAAAAGAGAGNGAGAGAGAGAGAGAGAGAGAGAGAAAGAGAGAGAGAGAGGGAGAAAAGAGAGCGCGAGATACGAGATGAAAACTTCGCTGTGTAATAATGTATAATTTATATACTGTTATATACAAAATTAAATACATACATACGCGAAGGAAGATTCGCGATTTTTTGTCACGATCTTATTTTTGCGATTTCATTTTCGCAAATAATAGGGAGAGAATCACCCGACGACCCATCTATCTCGGAGATAGGGTTCGCAACGGGTTGTGAAAAGATTGAACATCACGAGTCTTCCCTCGCGCATATATATGAGCGGGCATCAACTTGTAAAAGAGAGATCGGTAATATTCCTTGTAGAAAAATACATCGCTTTTTTGAAGGAACAACGGAGCGCGAGTTCGTTGTCGAAGAAAACATGTTGCAATCTCTGCTTTCGCATATTGATGAGCAAACTGATCCCCTTAAAGAGACATGCGCGCGTGTATATATATATATATATATATATAGAGAGAGAGAGAGAGAGAGAGAGAGAGAAAGAGAGAGAGAGAGAGAGAGAGAAAGAGAGACGTATATAAAATTTATAAATTACAAAAACCTTAAAATTTAAGTCGACACGTCTGGTCTGGCAATCGACGCTATAAATAGAAACCTCGGTCTTCAGCGAGGTTTTCACCGATAATACTTTTATTGTGTGTGCTATCTTTAATTTAAATATATTTATATAAATGAGACGACACGTGATCGACGGATAACGAGACGACAATCTTCAGGAATCACACGCCGTTGTCGGACATCTAATCGTTGATGATGGTGATGACTAATTTATGTTCCGGCCAAGAGAATGTCTTTGGCAATTGAATCTGCAACAGAATCGATTAATCAGCGCACGTGAAGTACCGATGTCAGTCGATATAAGTAGGAACCGAGGGAACGTTTCAAGATCCTTCGCCGTTCGGAGAACAGCGAGATCCTGAAACACGCGCCTGTGTGTTTCCCAATTACCCAGAAATGATCTCAAACGACGCAATTACCTTATCCGGCGTGTTCAGGACCTGGAACTCTTGGGCCATTCTTTCGTACAGTTCTTCCGAGAGAAGTACCTGCAGCCACGGTCCTTGAAGAACGTACGGTTTCTCCTTAGCGACTAATGTGCCGGTAACCGACGGTGCCACTATCGTGACGGCCGAGTGCGACAGTATGGACTTGAAGGTGAAATGCCTGCCGTGCATAACGCGGCCCCTGCAACATTGCATTGTTATTCATCGGTCACTAACGACGTGTGCCCGAGGCGCGACAACGACGACGGTCAACCTTATCGCTAACGGCAGCAACGAGCCGGCCTCGAGGTTGAACGTAAGGTGCAAGCCGGACAGGATTTTAATACTGCCCTCGTCGGCGTCCTGCTCGCACGGCGACAGTCTCTCCGTCTTCACCACCGGCTTCACATCCTCCTGCTGCCTCTCGTCGTCGTCGGAATCGTTCCTCCGTTCTCTATATCTCTCCGCGCTCTTGTCGCCCGTGATCTGCACCCACCTATCATTGAAACACCACATGTACCTTATTAAGTCCTCTCGCTTCTCGGAAAACAATCGTGACCTACAGCAGGCATCCGACATCCTGAATATTCGTTACACTCACCAACATTTGGCGGACACGCCACTCAGGTTCGACCCGTCTCTCTCGATGCCGCGCTGTATCTTCTCCGCTATGGAGGGATCGCTCTCCATAATGGAATGCATTCTCCGCATGTCTGTGATTAACCACGGCCCGCACTCCGGGGCACTCTTCAGCAAGTTAACGACGCCCAGACCGTTCCAGTGCTGGGCTGCTTGCAGCTCCTCGGAGGTGACACCGACGATCTGAACGAACGAGACCTGTTTACGAAAGCGAGGGTATAATTAGCAGATTGGTCTTCGGCATCTATTACAGCGAGCATCCGCATTGGTTACTAATATCGGTCCGCAATTAGAGACTAAAGGCTAAACGCAGCTGTCGAGTATACCGGTTTTAATCATAGACTCATCTGATTCCTGTTTCTTCTGAACTGAAGAATCAACGCGCTCACAGACGTTAATCCCGAAGTGGTCACGCGCGGATGACAAGTATCCTCCATTTTAAACTCCATTTTAAACTGACATTTTCAATGAAAAAAATTTCTTTAGAAAGTAATATTTATTTATATGGAACTAACAATCGTAAAAGATCTTATTTAAAAGGAAACCAATAAACCATTTTTAATTCTTTTTCTGAATTTAAGAGCAAAAGACAAATTAAGAACAAATTACGAGATCAATATTGTTTTGGAAATGATTTGTTTTAAGCATTAAGACACGATATAGAGGAATGGTAGAAATGAAATAGGCAGACTTATATAGCGAGATTCTGATATGGAAATAAAGAACTCTACAATAAATACTGGCGTAAACAGGAGAAAAATCTCTGTAGGCTATGTTAAAGCGCAATCGTAAGAGCATATAACAATAAATTGTGGAGACAAAAAGTATAGTATAATAAAGAAAATCTTAGAGCAAGGAAGGGGAATAAAATAAAAGCCAAAAGAGCAAAAATTAAGAACAATTTAAAACTTCGAAGGCAATTTAGTCATATATAGGCTTATATAGTATAGCAATTTATAGTCATATATAGGCATATATAGTATTGATACAAACTAAAGCTAAATTATAAAGATTAAGGAACATATAAGTCTTTGTATATTTATATTATTTGTATATTACTCAATAAAAACTAAAACGTAAGATAGATGTAAAACTCCCCCCTTTCAAAGACGAAAAAGGCAAGAAGTAAATATATTATATCTATCAATCACTAAGATATGATCACTAAGATATAAAAATAATCTATCATTTTTAAAGCAAATATTACGGTAATATGGACACCTGTCATCCGCGCGACCACAATAGAGTTAATAATAGAGCTGTAAACCTTTCGCCATGTACCTCGCCATGGGGAGTGGAAATCGACACTGGGAGCTGCGGGTCCCTGCCCATCAAGATCTGGGTGATGCGACCGCCTTCGCCATTCAGCGGAGCGTGCCAAGAGACGTGGTCGCCCGGCATCACCGTGTTTCCGGAACTGAAAACATACTTGGCCAATTGCTGCAACATGTTCGCCGGCCACGTGGGCGGCGTCGTCTCGCCCCTTTCGCGCGCCAGCCGGAAGGTAAACTCGAAGCCGAATCCGCTCGGACGACCCGGGCCGTTTTTAGGATGCAGCCGGCCATCTCCGTGCAAATCTGACAACCCTAAGCTGCGTTTCAACAGACAAAATGCAAAACGGTGAATATTATGCGAATAGTCTCCGTCGAGGAGAAATCACCAGTGCGACATGACGCGTATCTGGAATAAATTCAAGTTGGATAAATTTGAATTTATGAGAATACGTAGCTTACGTTGAATATATTCGACGCGAGGTAACAAATCTTCCTTCGCAAAGCCTCGTTAAGTCATTGAACGCAACGTCGGTATTGCTAAAAAGAAAACGTTGCGCATGGCGCGCGCGAGGAAAATGACCCGCACAGTTTCGCGGCCGCGAAAGAATCTCGGTAGTTTCGGTCAATGGCGACGTATAATTAGACGAGGCAGACGAAAAGGGGGAAGTCCGGCGCTTCTATTTCCGACATACCGCGCTTTAAACGACTTTGTTCTTCCTGCACCCTACGCGTTCCCTATATATAGAGAGAAACGAGTCGGAGTATTGGGACAGCTGGTTCGAAACTGAAGAAGCGAGGGTCGCTGGAGGGAGAAAAAAAAACACCGGCACCCTTTGGCGGAAGGTCATTCGTCATTCGGCGCACAGATTCCAATAGGAGACGTATCCGAGAGAGACGGCGAATCGGTCGCCTACGCACGTCAAGCATCTGCCATCACCGTCAATTTGCGCCCCAACGAAATTTAAATTAAATTCAGCCGAATACGCGCTACTTTCGCAAACACTTTTACTTCGATGAGGTTTAAATACGCGCCCGGCGTCCACAATTGGAAAACTCATCTTCCGATTATTATTCGAAAAAAGAAGTTTTCCCGTTGAAACTCATCGATACAAAAGTGTTGCAACCTTTCCAATTTGAGAATTTGAGAGATTTGTTCTGAAAAAAAAACAAATTATGTAAACAAAGAAAATGGTGCAATTTTCAGCGACTTGATTAGCTAATTCATGTTTACGAACTTGACAAATTTAACTTTCGAATCAGGAAAAGATGCCAAAAGAAATCGTTCCGGTCTTCACAGATTGAACCGTGTCTATTGTGCAACGAAACGGAAAGAATTTTTTTTGGAACAACCTGTAGAGAATTTACAGGACGAGAATTCTCACCTGATGTAGTGCCAGTGCGGAGGTACTCCAAGTTCGGGGCATCCTGGACTGGCGTACATACTGATGTAATCGAGGGGGTCAGGTCCTCCTAACCTGCGGGGAAAATTCAAATCAGCTGACAGGGCATCCGGTTTTACATGTACGCGAATAGGGGGAGACTAAATATAGTCTGGTAATCTTCGTTTCTCCACGAAGGGAGGAACGATAAAAAGAGTTTCCACGAGTGCTCCAGATCTTTGCGACGGCTCACGGAAGTTCACGGCGATTTTAATTTTGTTAAATCAAAATACAAAATTTAACTAATCAATCACCGTAAAATAAATCGCGATATCCCGCATAACACCCGGAAAACAATATTTCTACAAGCGATATCGTGCAGTACACGAGAGACACGAATTAATTAACCCTCTAACAACAAGGTGGATCTTCAGCGTATCCAGGAAGGTGGGGTCGGATCCGACCTCGTGCTGTTTTGTTCATTTTTATTCCAGGCTGCTGCCAACCGGAGGTTGGCACAACAAAGGGAGTATGCATTCTTCATATAATCATAAGATGGGTACAAAGTACCAAATGAATAAAAGAAATAAATAATATAACAGATATTATAAATAAATATTATATTACAAACAATATAAATGGATATTATAATAAACATTATAAATAGATAGATAAGTAATATAATAATAAATTAAAGAAATAAATAAATAATAACATGAAACATTCCTTAAGAAAAACAGCAGGTGTGTATTGTAAAATAAATGAAGCTGTGGGATCAATCTGGTCTCACCTTATCATCAGAAGGTTAAAAATTCAACAAAACGATTGTAACAAGTGCAATAATAATTCAAGAACAATATAAGAATCAAAACATAAGAAAACAATAATTGCTGAAGAGTTTCGAACAAGTACGACGTGTGCACGAATCGCCTCGTCGGGCACCGGAGTCACCGGTGCATCCGCCTCGCGAATTAATTGTTTACTCCCTGGCAGGACGAGTGGTTCATGAACGGCTTCCTCGACTTTCTCTCGGGCGAGAGCGAAGGGCGATTCCCCCTCGGCGTCGTCGAGTCGCGTGCTCACCAATATTTCACAACCGCCGTGACTGTCAGCGGATTGCATTGGTCGGGGTAGATCTGCCTGCAGAGGCTGTGCAAAGCGTCCAAACCCGGAGCTTGCGGCGATGGTGCCTGGATCGGCGGTGGTGGCGGCTGCTGCTGGTGATGGCCCGGCACAAAACACCTCGTCGTCAGGTCGTCGTGCTCGCGCATGTTCGCGACGTACATAGATAAATCCGCCGTGGATCCGCAGGAAGCGCGTGCTCGCCACGCCGAAGGCACTTTGTTTACGACACGACCGGACACGCACTCGCAACCCAACACACACGTAACGCACCAGCGTCAGCGGCCACTGGCGAGACAAAAGCACAATCGTACGCAAACAGGTATCGCGTAGATAAGAGAGACGGAGGAGCGTGGCGGAAATCCCTGGCAAACGCGCAGCGCCTCTGCAGGCGTTCTCGGGCGAGTCGGGGACGGATTTGCTCGTTTCGCCTGCGCTCCGCTACACTTCACACATGGCCGGTATTCATAGTTGGATCTTACATGTAAGATCATCTTAAGTTTATCTTCAGATGCTGTACGGCTCATTTCATTGGCTACGAACCATTTGAAGGTGAACGTGCCGCGCCACCAGCGTCGCATGTCTCTAGTCTTTAATTAGTAATTTCGAGTTCCAGAGCTTGGTAGATTTAATATAAGCGGCCTGTTCTTCATAACTGCACTGCTGAACTGGTGCAACAAGTTGAAGTGAGAAAACATATACTTGTCTCGCTTCAACTTATTGCTACTAGTTCAGCAGTGCAGCTGTAATGAACAGATGCCTCAGAAGTTATTCCTCATGCGGTGAAATTTCAGATAATATACGCAACTCGACAAGCTGGATTGCAATGATTGATCCCTGCCTTCCTCGAATGCCGATATAGCGCCGAGCAAAGAGTCGTCGTCCACTTGTGGCCGGCATAATACTGTGCCGATGCCACGACTGGTGACCCCGACGTGATCGTTAGTGTCGTGATGCCGCTGGATCATTTTTCGGTGCGACGTGAACTTCTTCCTACCGCCAGATATGACGACTTCTGCCGCCGAGACTGCACCGGCTCCTGGCTGCCACACGCGTAAAACGGTACCGAGGAAAATAGCCGACCACGTGGCCGCTTTCAGGTTTCTCTCTGACGGAAGACGCTAATTATGTATCGAGGAGAATAATCAACCGATTTACTATTTCTCGAGGATTCTCCTTCCTAGTACTTGACGTGATAAGTGAGTGATATAAATTGTAGCTTACGTGATCTACCGTTCGGAAACTATTTGCAACCGGGAGGTCTATTCTGCTCCTATCACCACTCACTCTGTTTTACCTTCCACCGGTGGAGTTCCCGAACGCAATCTAGAAAGGGTGATGAAAAAATCTCAGGGGGGCAGCGTAGGTGCGGGTGAGGGCAGGTTCAGTGACGTGAGTGTTCAACAGGTTCTGGCTGAATGTAAATTACAGGATGTACCGGCGTTGTTAAACCGTGGTGATAATTGACGCGAATTCGATTGATGTGAACGAACGTATCAATATCTGCCGGTAACTTGACAATATATGCGTTTCGTTTGTTGTTACGTGTATCAGAAAATATAACCCCTCAGTGTTCGCAGCACGTTTGTCACCTTGTCAATTGTTATTTCAGATTAGTCAGACGTCATGCCCGGTTGCGTGGCTGCGTGGTGCACGAATTCCTCCAGCAAGGGATTCAAAATGTGCAATTTCCCGCGGAACAAGGAGAGACGAGAAGCCTGGGTGAAGAATATGAACCGACAGGACTGGTCACCGACACCCCACTCGGCTTTATGCGAAGTACACGACACAACGCTTGTATTTGAATGTTGTATTCGTTCGGATGTTGGTATTGATGAGGACTGCTGGATTTTCAGGCGCACTTTGCATCAGACATGTGGGAAAAAGTGCGAATAGATGGCAAGAAAAAGCTGAAAGCTTGTGCCGTGCCCACAATATTTGTCACAAATTGCGTGTATATGTTTCTGAAAGAGAAAGAAAGGGACACCCCAATGAGGAGAAAAAATATCCTAGATTCAGTATCTATACTGCGGAAAAAATCGAGATATTCCACAAAGAAAGGTATATGGATGAATTATTATATATTGGGATTTAGTTATTTTCTAAGGAGAAGTGATTTGCAAAGATGTTGACTGTATAACAGGTGCTGAATTGCAAAAGGTATGTGACAGACAATTGCATAGGAAGCAAGTGACAAATAATGAGGAAACTAATAACAATAATGAGTTTAGAAATGTTTATGAAAATAATATAATGCAATTAGAAGAGTTAGGGAATATATCAAAGGATTTAAATGATCTATCTGGTTCTATAAACAATGGGACATGACAAAATTGATAGAAACAATGGAGTCTCTTTCAACCAAGAGGAAGCAATTGTGAAAAATAATGCAGATTCAGCATAAAAAAAGAAAATGAAAATATTAGATCAACTTAACATATATTATCAAGGACGAAGAGAAGATTAAACAGCTGGAGGAAGAAGAGAGACTACACAAAGTTATCACTTTTGAATGATAAATCTTTGATACTACTCGAAGTAACACAGAGTATTTAAACAATAGGTAATTATATGGAAAAGGTTACACTTCTCTTTATATAGTTTTCAAATATATTATAAAGGGTAAAATTCTGAATCGATTTGTTTCTATGAACCATATGGGGGTTACATATAGTTTTCGAGATATATCGCTTTAAAATACCGGAATTTTACGTTGGAATATGGTAAATATTTACATAAGGCCAACCCTCTCAATCAACGATCTTGACATATATTATTAATATCAGGACTTCTCTTACAGTAAGGAGAATTGTAAAAGTTGGAGAATCCTAAGTCCTTCGGAGTAAGTTGACAACTACAACACCGACGAGGAGACGAAATTCATGGAGATGGAATCATTTCAGAGTAATACCCCGTGTTACGCTAACCCGACTTGCGCGAAGTCAGAGTTACGCGATTGACAATTTCTTCGCTTCCCCCCCACCACTCATCTCCCGTTTATTGCGAGGCGGCAGGTACGCACTTGCAGCTTTCATAAACGTGTCTCAGGCGCGCGAACGCAAATTGTTTCTGGCATCTTTGTGTTGCCAGAACTTCTTTACTAGATTTTATGAAGCCATCTACTTCAAAATAATCTTTTTTTTACTTCACTTAAAACTTATTTTTTAAATTATGTTGTAAGAAACACCTTTGATTACTATTAGTATTAATAAATTAGTATCAATAAATTAGTGTTCTCTTTATAAACCTGCTATCAAAGAACCAATTATTCCAGGTTAGTATGTACATATTTATATGAAAATTTGTACCCTGACTTTACGCATTTTTGACTTACGTTATAGTAATATTATCAGAATATTATTAAAATATTACGTCTGATATTTTAAGAATGTGCCCAAAATATTATTTGATATTAAATAATATTATGCGCTTATAGAGTAATATTTAACACGTTGACTGCCACGGAACTTTCCACGATTCTGGTCTAAGAAGCCAATTTAATTTAATCAAGTAATGAAGCGACGTGATAACTCGTAGTTGGCGTTCTGGGCAAGTAAACAACCTACGAGATATCTCGTAGTTGGCAGTCAACGTATTAATATTCATTCTTATTCCTAATATATGTTCTATTGTGATTGCGATAGTGTGTATTGTGCTTAGTACACACACACACACACACACACACAATTAGTATCTATAATTTTTACTCATATAGAAGTGATGAGATCGCAAAAGTAACAACAGTAATAGTCGCTCGAATTGGCACACCATTTGTATATCGCCTGTGTACCAGAAGTGATTCAGTTGGTCATATATATATATATATATATATATTCTTATATTATGTACGCATATATAATGAGTTTCAGACTGCAAAACACTGGAATTATTGAAAATAAAATATATAAATGTAAAAGGTGATGATATAAATATGAATAGTCTTGAGGATTTTTAATAAAAAAATATAAAATTTTCACATACATATACACGACACACACAGAAACGCACACATATACAATTGTAGATATAAAATATGTTGCATGTGTACATTGAAGTTTATTTATTTCCTGTTTGTCCTATTTGTTTCCTGTTGTTTGCTGAAATTAATATAACTACGAGTTCTATAATTTTCTTCTCTTCGTATGATTTTTTTATAATTATCTAAATTATTTTATGGGTAAATAAGGGCACTCCTTGTATCAAAATTTGTTTCTCAAGGCTGGGTTGTTCCTATACGTAGTGCTAGCTGATGAAACCGAATAGGAACACTTCTTATCATATTATTTATTACTTCTTTATTACCTTAATTTTCCCTAAAGTGTTGTCAATGATTTTACTTGAAACATTCTTAATTATGTTTAATTGGCTCAATTTACATATTTTCATTTCCATTCGTTAGAAAAATATTATAAAAATAATAGGAAAGTATTAAAAAAACAAATTTCATTGGAATACATTCCATTAAAACCGATTCCCGACCAAAATTCCGTCTCCCGGCAGAATTTTGGTCGACGTCCACCGAAATTGGTGGTTTCGACGCGCGGCGACCGATTCTTCAGGTTCCGGTCGCCGCGAACGCTGCGACGGGCTTCGCCGTTCCGCAACAGCAGAAGTTCTGCATTATCGACAACAGCTCCTTTATCTCACGATATATTTCGACCAGTCAAGTATCTGCGATACCTCGCGAAATCCTCGAGTCCAGTTTATTCGACGCGTCACGTAGTTTCGTGACGCGCGTCCGGCGAATCGAAAAATTCATTCGGTAAATTCGCAAATAACACATACACACACATACACACACACAACAAGCGCGTCACGTCCCAAAAGATACGGGTTGCGCGCGGCGAGGAGACGGGGGGGGAGGAGCAGGAGGGAGTAAATGCCGGTCGTCGAGCGAACAGTTCCGGCGTGTCGCAACGGTGCTTCAGAGACGCACCGGCTTCGCGTATGTTCCCCGAGAGTCAGTCCGTAGCCAGATTCGGCCGGCAGCAGCAGCGGTATCATCTCGCAGTGCGCGCAAGCGTGACTTGGAATTTACAAGATGGCGGAGCGCAGGAAAAGCAGGAAGCGCAAAAACGTAAGCGTCGCATATGGCTCGCGTGTATTCGCGACGTACGACTCGCGGCGCGATCGTGATCGTCGTCGGCCGACACGAAATGCGACGCACGCACGCTTGTCACGCACCTCGTTCCCGCGACCCCGAGGATATTCGTGTCGGCGCGCCGACGAGCGCGCTACTCCAGATGACGTAGACACAAAAACAGGCGTACCGCTCGCGCCGGAGAATCTCGCGCAAGCTGACCCTTCGTGTCAGTCCAATCCCGCGGAGGGCAATGTACGACGTGCGACGCACATCGTCCGTCACCCGGTCGGTCCCTCTCGGTCTTCGTCTGATGCGAGTCGTTGTTGTCTGTTGTGACAGGAAGTAGCCAGTTTAGACCCTAAGGTCGCACAGGACAAACCGTCCAAGGAGGAGTACTCGGTGGCTAAGTGGATCCGCAACAATGTACCGTCGAAGAAGACCAAGTTCGACAGGACCCACAATGTCGAGTACTTCACCGGGTCGAGGGCCGTCGACGCCTTGCTGGAAAGCTCACCCTGGAGCTCGGTGTTCGAGAACCGCAAACAAGTCTCCCAGTTCTTGGACCAGATGTTGAGGCACAAGTTCTTTCACAGGGCGAAGAAGGTGGTGATATCGGAGGAAGAACTCAACAAAATGCGGGGTATTAAGAAGAAGACGACCAAGGATACCAAGGAGGAGAGGAAAGAAGGAGATAAGGAGAAAAAGGAAAAGGAAAAGGAGAAGGAGAAGGAGAAGGAAGAACCCAAAGAGAACAAAGACATGGCTGTGGTGAAGGATGAGAAGGATGAGGAAAAGTCTGATGATCAAAAGAAGTCCAAGAAAAAGCCAAAAGTAAGTACGAGGAGCAGTCAGAGAAACTTCCGGAAACAGCCATGCTACGACTTAGCTCAAATTTTGTAAATAGTTTTTTTTTTCAGAAAATAAGTATCCCAAAGTATCCTAAAGATTCTTGAGAACTTGAAAAGCAAGCCACTTTTTTTTTACATTTTCTCAACTTTTTCTTGCTGTTTTGTACTTGTAAATTACTAACCAAATAATGCGAATAATATTATGCATAGACAAGGAACATTCGCAATTTGTTAAGAAAATAAAATATATTTGTTACGTATATGAAAGTCTGCGAACTAAGAATCAAACTTGGAAATCGAGAGTATAAGTGTTGTGTTTAACGGAGCAACGAGATACAGTTATGATTTTGACATATGTTGTTAAAGTCATCATTCTGAATAACGCTGAAAGTTGAGGCTGTCGCTCATTGTTCGTTAAAGAATTGTTAATAAAAGTTTCAGTTGTTCTGGTTATGTTTAAATCTTTTAACTTGCTAAAATGAGACTATTTTATACTGAAATAATAGATGCTGAGAATATTAGTAAAAATCCCTATACAAGGTTTAGGAACTTTGAAACTATTCGGTCTCCATGAGTCTTATCTCCTCATCGGTGTTCTCATTTGTGAACTTGCCCCGAAAGACTTGGGATTTTCGAATTTTTCTTATTGCAAAAGAAGTTACAATGTGGAATGGGAAGGGCTTTATCTCCGATCTGGGGGTTGAGAGGGCAAAGTTATGCGCCCATAATTTCTTATATATACATTTCCGCAAATTACCTTCCCATTTAACTTATTTGTTTAATAATTTTTCGATAAACGATGAACGATAGCTAATACTTCCAAATATTACTCCGGATCATGACTTTTACATTATATGGTTAGAACTATTGCAAGGCAATATGTTAACATACACAAAAGAATGTTAAATTTGGGAAAAACGTTAGAGAGAAAAGATATTTACTTTTCGAATCGCCGAGAATCCTTTTGAGATACTTATTCTCTATCCAAAAAAGAAGCCTATTTACAAGATTTGAGCTAAATCGGGACACGGCCGTTTTCGGAGGAACAGCCAAAGCCGATTTTCTCGTGTCCGTTGAACGCGACTCTACTCTCAATTCTTAACGTAGAAAAATTAAACGCGTATCTTTGATTGCAGGTAAGACTAGAGATGCACATGGAACAATACTTTGTAGATTGTAATGACGCATACGTGTGGATATATGAGCCAATTCCTGTGTATTACTGGTTCTTCGGCACGCTTGTAGTCTTAGGAGCAATAGCAGTCTGCCTCTTCCCACTTTGGCCGTTGACCATTCGTCACGGAGTGTATTACCTGAGCGTCGCGGCCGCAGGATTCCTCGTATTTATATTAGCATTGGCAATTATCAGAATGATCGTGTTCTGTCTTCTGTGGGTACCCACGTTAGGTAGATGCCACCTGTGGCTGCTGCCCAACTTAACGGCCGATGTCGGCTTCTTCGCATCTTTCTGGCCGTTATATCAGGTTGGTATCAGACCTTTCTCGGGCCGGTGGTTTCGTCCATAATGAACTTACGAGCTGATCGTAAATCTAACGCAAGATTCTAACGCAGATCTAACGCAAAAATATACTTACAGTACGAGTACTACGGCTCCACGTCCGGCGATAAGAAAGTCAGTAAAAAGAGAAGAAAGAAAGATAAGGATTCCGACTCCGAGGACGCGACGTTGATTCAGTCGTAAGTTTCGCGCGTTATTGGCCTACCTAAGTTGAACCGTCGTTCGAACAGTCGTTCGATATGCGTGTTAAGTAACAATTTTCCATCGGATTACCTCGAGTCATTTCGATGATGAGTATAAACGACAGCGTACTATGGCTATAATATTAGGATTAGAAAGATATATATCGAGTTCAGTTCGATACACTGTTATTTACACGTGCCACTAAAATATAGTTCAAAATAAAATTGCCAGTTGGTATGTGTATTGAATGGTCGGTGTAACCAAGGCCGTTATTCTAGTTTAAACCGGTTATTTGATACGCGTGGCAACTAGTAACTTTTTATCTGACCTTTTTCATCAGTGAAATGCTTCGATATCGGCTTTATATTGTACTAAGTTGTCTCCTTGATGCAATTAGACCAGCTTGGTACATAATATCAAACGATCGGTATAAACTAGCACACCGGCTGTCAAATTGGATGCACGTTTTGTGTGAGACATCTTCAATGGTATGTTTCGTCCTCAGGGAAGAGAAATCCGAGGAAATGCGGGAATCACCCAAGGAGGAGGAGGAGGCGCAAATGGAGGAGGAACCATCGCCCAGCACGGAAAGGAAGGACTCGTGCGACTCCGCCGAAGCTGAGGAAGGCAGCGAAGAGGGTTCGGAGAGCGAGAAGTCGAACACGGGTCGGGACTTTGTTATGGTTTAGGGCCGGGAGAATACTAGGCAATAGACAGCTTCACATGCTGAAACAGACAGCTCTTAATTGTCGCATTAATAATCGCTGAAACCGATATATGCTTACGTTCGAACATGAATGTGCAATTCTAAAATTATCGAGGCTCACATTTCGGTGAGCGAGAAAACGGTTTACGATAAGCGTGTTAACAAACCGCATCGTATTGCGCGCGAATTCAACCCCTCAACTGCCGAATATTTATTTGTTATTCCTTTGATTCGGTTGCGTCATCGTGGAATTGTTTAACCAACGATAACAAAAAATCCGTTCCAGGCTTCAGCGAGCGAGGACTGTGGCAGTTGATGGCTTGAAAATGGCTCGATCTTAGTGAATTCTCCGGGTTCGTTGCATTCGAAAGGAAAGAAGAGATGCACGAATTAGGATGGCAGTGTTTGGAAAATAATATGTAATATCGGAAATTACTCGGTTTTCTCAGAAGTTTTGTCTGGATATCACATTTATACGCTCTACCTGTCACATTTCTATATCTAAGCTTGTACGTATCTTCTTTCCTTTCTATTGATTTGCAAAATCCCCGAGCCCTCGTAATATTTTTAACGACTGCATTTAAGTACGGCTGGAGGAGCGAACGGAAGAGAGAGAGAAAAAAAAGATCGTTCGTGTGTGATTTTCTGAGCGCAAGAGACGACCTCGCGCGGCCGACGCGTGTTGTAAAGTACTGTCTGTAGAAATATGAACGTAACAAGGCGTGTTTTATTCTACATATATATGTATATATATGTATATGTATATATATATATACATATACATGTATATGTGTGTGTATATATATATATATATATATATATATATATATGTGCGTGCGTGCATGCGTGTGTGTGTGTATGTAATTCGAGGAGAATCATGTTATCCTTTAAACGTGTAATCGCGTTTTCTCGCGAAGGTACGTTTGGTTTCTGTTGAATAAATTGAATACTCGTTCGAAGTCTTCAATCTCTCAACGAGCTTGATGTGTCTACCGACGAAACGTAAAACAATTGTAGTTAGGCGAGATCCATCATGTTCTCGCCATTGGGTGTATGTGCGCGCGCGCGCGCGTGTGTGTGTGTGTGAGAAAGAGAAAATCTCTATATCCCCCGGGGGAAAAATCATTTAGCTGGAAGAATGAAATCTTTACGGGTACAAACTTCAACCGGTGTCTCCATCGTTTCGCCCTGTCTAGCGCGAGTTCCTTTTTTAGCAGAAATAAATAAGTCCACACCTCACGAAGGAATTTATCCCGACGTTTAATAACAAAGAAAGAGAAAGAAAGAAAGAGAGATAGAGAGAGAGAGATTGTAATTTATATTCTTATGTGTAATTTCTCCAAATAATATTTAGTATTATTGTTATTCTCATTTGACGACGCGACGACGAAACATTTTTCGTATCGATGTGGAATATACCACTCGTGATTTTACCTGTATTTCGAAATAGAGAATAAAATAAAGCGTTATCTATATGGAGCAGTCGTTGATATAAAATGTACGGCAGCGACGCGTCGCGTCACGGATAACTGGCCTTGCAGGTGATCTCGCGCAGCATCGCGTTGCACATGGCCGCGTACGGATTCAGGGCGACCAATTGCGACCTGGCGAAATTCGAGCCTGCCTTGGCCGCTCGACTGAAGTCCTCCGTCGCCTTCTCGTCCCGCTCCATCCAGCGATAAAGGGCGCCGCGCTGACAGAGCGCCTGGACGCCGGCTTTCCCTTTCCCTCCGCTCAGTTCCACCGCCAGATGCAGGTCCTTCAAAGCTTCTACGAGGAGAAAATTGGACATTTCTCAGCGCGACCACCTTCACGTATACACCCGGAGATTTACACGCTTGAGACTTGACGTTACATCGCGAGATACCTTCGTGCCGATTCGCCAAACGTAACGCCTGCGCCCTGTCGTTCAGGATCGCCGATGACTCGGGTGCCTTCGTCAGGGCTTCGTCGAAAAGTCGAAAGGACTCGTCGAAGTTCTTCGCTTCCGCACACACTATTGCCCTTTTCACCGTGTCCAGCACCTGCGGCTCCAAGCAGTCATCCTCGAGAGCAGCGGTCGTCTCTGAAAGACGTGAGGAAAAGTATCGTTAGAGAAATATCAGAAGATGTTGAATAAAATTGTCGTTCTCAAAAGCTCACGCTTTTATGTATCTCGTAGAAGAACGCGCAGTAACGAGTTATTTTCCTGTTTCTTTTCTGCGCAGCGGCGTAACCTTGAGAGTTACACGATAACAGGAGAATTTATTTGTCGCACGAGCGCGACGGTTTCTTACATATTCATGACGTTCCGGATTTCTCGCGTGAGAGCTAATTGCACCGGCGAGCACACTTTGTGCGACAGACTTTGTGCGGTTAGCCGCGAGAGTCTTAAGCGCTCGGCGATCTTTCGAGGGAGGCCGCGCAGCGTCTGCGGTTTGAATCGAGTCCAATCGTTGTGACGAATGTCTCGTCTGCGGGCAATGTAAAATCTGCTAATTATCACAGTACTGACATTATTATTACTGTGTACCACTGAGAGAATTCAATTACGGAGTTTTAATATGTTACGTTTAACAGATACTACATTAAACTGCATATTCAAACAAGATAACTTTCACCCCAGATAGCACAAACATCAAGTCATTATTTGAAATTTGTCCCATGTGAGACGCCCAGATTTAAATTTAGACGAATTTGAATATTTTTCAGTTGAATCACATGATATATCCCAGCAAATGCCAAGCATCAGTTACGTTATACTTATGCAGGGTTGGTAAATTAATTTAAGTTAGCAATTGGAAGTTAGTTACGCGAGACTATACATATAAACCTAACTTAACTATTCTTGTTCTAAATTATACATGTATATAGTTTTGTATAATTAAGCTTTAACTTTAATAAGTTAATTTTAACTCAACTTTTAATTAGTTTTTATTTAGGTTACTTTAACTTAACTAAATTAATTGTATAGGCCATTAACATCTAACTTCAAAAAAGAAGTTGGTTTACCCAATCTTCTATCTACGTTACAATTTCTCATCCGGATGATTTCTTTATCGCCAATAGATAACGAGAATCTACCTGATATTGCAGAATTTCTACACCACATTCTATGATCCAGGACAGTTTTGAGTCGGGTAAACACATTTTATTACGTCGAAAATATCTGTCGTGAAATTTTGAACGTATTTTTCTCACAATTAGGTTTTTCCAGTTTTACCACGATTTCTAAAAAATAAAAAGACATATCGGAATAATTTTTTTTTCTTGATATATTTCTATTTAAATTCTCTATAAACTACACCTAAGAATTGCTAGAAAAATTTCTCTTACTTCTAAAAATGGACAAAAAGTCGAAAAATTTCGAAGAAATGTGGTTTTTGGAGTACCAGTTTTTCAATAAATGTTATTTCTCCTGTTTCAGAGATTTAATCGATAAAGAATTTATTTAAAAAAGAATGCCGTTTACAGCTTTTCAAAATTTCATAGTAGGATTGAAAATTTTTTTGTATATAGATGTGGATGTTTAGTAATGTAAAATGTGGGCATATATTGATTGTTCTGGAGCTGACAAAAATAAATATATTTGCAATTTTGGCAAATAACTTTTTTTAACAAGGTTATTTAAAAATTTTTTTTTTAAGATAAAAAACTGAATAATCAATAATTTAAGTTGAGTTTAAAAGTTTATTCGTTTTGTAGAAAGTGTCCCGATAGTCTGTATTTATTTTCTGACAAGTCAGTATCTATAATATATAAAAATTTCACGGTTATATTTATTGTTGTTCCTTCTAAGAATTCATTTTGAATAAATACATAAATTTATAACATAATAC